AGGGCATAGCAACAACTGAAACGGGGCTAGCCCCCCTTTGAGTGGTGACCACCGGTAGACCTGCCCAGTTTCCTTCAGGGCTGTTTTACCTGCGTGGCAAACTTGGCCCTTTTATTTTTCCATTTGAAGATGCCGGGACACGAAGATTGCTGTTCCGGAAGGGCCTTGAAAGCCCTTCGAATGCTGTGCCGCGCCCTGCCGCGGGCAGACCTGCCTGGTGCCAAGCAGGCGACACCTCTCAACTTGAACAGATATGTTCTCCTCTTCCTTTACATGCTCCAGACGTTTATGACTGGCTGCGTATACTTCGGATGGGCTCCTCTGTCTGCAATGCTACTGAGGGCGGGGGTCTTCAGTTTCAAATGCGACACTGACGAGATGGGGGCCTTTGTGAACGACCAGAGGGAGTTCGGCAACAACTACATATGCGACAAACAGGATGCATCAGTGCAGAGCCTCTTTGTCATTACGCTAGCGACGCATTGCACAATGAGTGCACTTGCCGGTGCCATGATGGACACGCTGGGCCCGAAGATTACCTCTGTGATTGGTCAGTGTTTTAACATAATCGCGTGGTCTATAATCGCTACACTGAAGGCAGACTGTCACGCAAGCATATATTTGGGCTTTATATTTCTGGGTCTGGGGGCAGACACTGCGTTCTTGCCGACCTTGCTCGTCACTCGCCTCTTCCCTGGATCAGCTGCGACCGTGATAGCCCTAATTGGCTCTGCTTCGTCTGCTTCCTTCGCAATTCCTCTCATTTTGGACTTATATCTGACCAAAAATGGCATTTCTGGGTGTTGGTGGTATGTGGGCTTTGGCCCCTGCTTGTTCTTGCTGGTAGACGCACTGGCAATGCCCCTGAAGGCATTCGATGTCTTCGAAGCTGACTCTGCGGAAGAACAAGGAGATGTATCTATAGAAGATAACACACAACTTGAGTGCCTGCAGTTTTCAGACCGAGAGACGGGAATGTCTGGCTCGGAAACGGACGCAATGTCTCCCGTCGAGCCCAAGTGCCAACTAGAGGGGAAGGAGCCCGGTGATGCCTTGATAAAGCATGCTTTCTCAAAGACTGTGTTCTCTGAGAAGTACATACTCATTGTCACATATTTTGTTGCTGTTGGATGGGTTACGGCTTTCTACCAAGAGGCTCATGACCGTATATTGGAGCCTGCTGCAGAAGATTTCCTAGGCAGTGCACTGCCCTTTTCGTTTATTCCGTGCATCCTGCTTGGCAAGCTTTCGGAGACCATTGGGATTTTAGCTGTTATGGGAATAGTGAACACGGCAGGGTTGTTGGCCTATTCCTTTAGCTTGAAGCAAACGCTAGCTATGGGCGTCTTCTCTGTCTTGTGCTTCACCGTGTACATGGCGTTGTTCGTGTCTCAAGTGTTTGTGTATGTGGAAGAGAACTTCCCTGCCAAGTTTTTCGGTCGTCTTATCGGCATTGTACAGCTAGTTGGTGGTTTGTCCTCTCTCCTGTGCAGCCCATTGTTTCATCTCGTCAGTGTGGGATCGAAGGGCCTGTATCTTGTTCAGCTGCCGATGATTGGCGTACTCCTCCTAATGTATTTTGTCTTAGCTCGCCTGTGGTGCATCCGAATGTCACCTTTGAATTTACGCACAGCGGTGAATCCCGACAGGCAGCGCCCTGATTCTGCACCTCAAGAACCCTAAGGGAAGCCGACTTTCCTTCTTCGGGTTCTGTTTAAGGCTACAGCGTGTGCATTGCCAGATTTGCGTTCAGTGTACGAGCGAAAGCGTACCTGAGAGGGGCAGCGGCATGTCTGAACATAGGTTTGCTCGGCAAGGTCGCTGGGCGTGCCCTTGTAGGGCCTTTGGAATTGACTTTTTTTTGTTAAGTGTTGACGCTTATTGTTCTAATAAGTAGCATGTTATGCCTGCTTCCGTGGGTTTTTGGAGCCAGATGCACGCCAGCGCTCTGTGCAGGGGACACTGCAACTTGAACGACAAACGACAGCGCTCAGTTAGATTGACTTGGCGGGGACAACCAGGCATATCAAGGTTCGAGTCGAAGTAAATCAATAACAGTGGGAAGCCACGCACCATGCAAACGCCTAGCTCACCACGGCGAATGAGTTCGGCTCTTTAAACAGCCAGTTCACGTAAAAGCTCAGCGGGCCCAAATGCCTGTCCCCCTAGGCGGTAACTAGTTGAACGGGACGGAAACTCGCTTGGTGTCAGCATGCTTCAATACCCGCGGTGCCATACGACTGGAAATATAGTGTGGTGACACCAGTTTGTTCAGACTAATAGGAACAGTTGGGAGTTGGAATTAGTGGACACGGAAGGGAGGCGGTCCCTGAGCGGACGCAACACCGCGTGGGGCGACGTAACACCAACTGAGGGTCTTGTAGGCATTCACAATTAGTATGAAGTGGCGAAGATTTGTTCGGCTCTACTGCACCCAACGGTTCCAGAGACTGTCCGCCAATTACTCAGGCGCCTCACAGAGGCACCAATGAAGGATGCTCGCAGACGTTGCGGTCTCTGTCCTGCATATTCACCGGTTACTCACCTATCCAGCGGGTAGGGGATAGCGCTAGGGCTATCAGCTCCATCAATACTGCCAAATATTTTCTGCTACCAAACTCCTGGCACCTCGCCACCAATGGCCTACTAGGTTGGGGCAATCTGTCTTTNGATAAATTAATTATCTTCCGTAAATGCCTCCAGAATTACTCCTCTATACTGGAGTTGTCCTATTGGACGCCTTGTCACGGAAAGCTCGAATCCATTAGACTGTAACTCCCCCGCTAGAATCCGACGAGCGTTGACTGCTAGGTCCACATGTAAAGAATATTGAAAGGACTCACGTATACGCGGCTAACAGGGAGATATCTCCATGAAGGGAAGGTGATGAAGCGGGTAGTACATATTTTCCGCTATAGAGTGCCAAGGATGCAGAATATCTGCACAGCATACGCTCGCTCTTGGAGAAACGAAGAAGCACGTAAGCAGGCCGGCAATCTATGTTGGAGAGCGCAACAACTACAGGAACTTAGCCGCGACTTAGGAGAGCCCATTTAGCAGACTTTGTCGTATCTACGTGCATATTGGCCGCCAAACACTTAGTTTGCTAGAAGCTAATCGGCAGCTCAGGAGTTGACTGCGGTGTTAGTGCTTGCGGTGCAAGGGCTGTTGGATACGCTAGCAGGCTGGGGTTCTTTTAGGGGAGCAGTTGTAACACTGATGCTAGTTAGGGTAGGCCAAAGCCTCACTACCAGCTCCATGACCCTGCGCTCACGACGCTTGAATACAGAACAGGGGGAATAACTAGGCTGAGGCTGAGGAGTATCACTGCACTTGGCTAAGATGCATAGAGGCAAACGAGAGCTGTGAACTTCACCGCACAACTGCGGTGCCCGATGTGTGGNTTGGCTAAGATGCATAGAGGCAAACGAGAGCTGTGAACTTCACCGCACAACTGCGGTGCCCGATGTGTGGATTTCAACGGCTACTGCCTCAATCGGTGCTGCAAGGCAACCCCCTATCTAAACACTACAGGACCCGAATTTCTCCCTGCACTAACACAATGAACAATCTTTCAATACTTACGGGACCCCCACAGGCCAGTCTGCACGGGAGCAAAACTACTAACTTCGGACCGGTAAAGCTACGCTACCTATAAGACCCACACACTACCCTCATGTCTGGCGAAGCCAGAAGATTGTCATGATGCTTAAAGTTCGCCATTGGGCCAAGACAGGACACAACCATTCAGCGCTGAAGCGCATTTATTCTCAGGAACGTCGAAATCACCCAGCGGAGGCCCTGAGCACCCATTATGCGCAAGCGCCGATTACAACGACGTTGTTCCATTTGCACGTGGGAACTGAGCATGCTGAAGACAATGTAAATTTACAAATATATAGTAACATTACTATCCAAGCAGGTGATTGCGAGTGGATCCACTAGCGAAGGAAGCACTTCTGGCAGCAAAGTGTCTCTACAACTGAGCGGTCCTCTTCAACCCCTAAGCTGGCGGCCGCGCGGCCCACATTGTATGAATTTCCTGCCGTCGAAAACTTAACGCGTGCTCCATTGATTTTACAAAAGAGTTTTTCATCGAATAAGTGAATTCTTTCCCCCACAGAATGGCGGCGAACCGCGGTTTATCACGTTCACAAGGTGTCCCCTACCGCCTTTTATCCCTGCTGATTTCCCCACAATGATTTCGACGTTATATTATGCGTAACGCTGAGCAAGACTTAGATTATACTTACTTGCAGGTTTTTCTCGAATTGTCAATACATAGGTTCCTGCCGGCGCCCGAGTGACTGCGGAGTTCCTCGCTGAGCAATTGCTCGGGATGCGGCTGTATAAATTGTTCACGTCCGGAGTGGCTCAACTTTCAGAGGCAATGTGGAGGCAGAGAGCCCATGCGCACCTGTCGGTCCTGGCTGGACTTNAGTGGCTCAACTTTCAGAGGCAATGTGGAGGCAGAGAGCCCATGCGCACCTGTCGGTCCTGGCTGGACTTGCATCCTTCTGTCTTTGTACTTCTAGAGCCTTCGACTTCACCGCCCCCCACACGGTCGACAGCCCGGTTGACCTCTCGGACGCGGTACACAGCAATAACCTGTCGACGCCTTCGTCTGAGTCCACCCTTTTTCCAGTCCCCAATGTTCCGTATCATCGGGGGCAGATTCTTGCAGTTGCAGTTGTTTCGGCCCTCGTGTTTCTCCTTTTCTCTTGTTCCTTGCTTCTTGGGTCTTTCAGGAATTCGAACGGCCGTGGGAGCATTCGTTCTCTTTCAGAGAGACACCCCGGACATCCTTGTTACGATGATTCGCAACTTGACTTCATCCTAACAGGCCCATTGGACAGAAGAGCTTTGGAAGAAGCGCGGCAGATACTAACTGCTCTAGATCTCCCACCATCAGCAATGCAAACCCTCAAAACATCTGAGCGTGAGCTACTAAGTTCAGCCCAGAGCGCGATGCGGAGCCACACTGAACGGCTTGCATTTGTTGTCCAGAGCATATCAGTACGTCCTGCAGCACAATTGCCAGGGTTGATTGCCGAGAGAGAGAAAATAAGGTCCTTTATGGGATCCATAAAATGGTCGCCAGCTCAGGAAGCCGAAGCGTTGTTCTGTAGGGCTAGGGCTTTTTCGCTTGGGCGGCGGATGCCACGTGAAGTGGCTGTAGCCTTGGTCGCGGCAGAGCTAGTTAAAAGCCCAAACAAACCCACTTCAACCACCGCAACCCGCGAACAGCAGCGGCTTGTGGAACAGATGGTGGAAAGCATGAGGGTAGATATAGATCATTTTGCACATGTTCTCGTGAACACGCGCGGGATCCCTTCCCAAGAAGTGGATGCTGCGAGAGATATGCTAGAGGAGTCTGAGTGTCTTTGGAACCAGCTGCGCTATGCGAGTATGCATGCACTCTCGGAATCTCTGAACAGCTCTTGTAGAGGCCTCAGAGATGCCCTGAAACGACGGACGGGCCGGAAGCCGAGCAGAACCGCCAGCTTGCCGAGTATGCTATCGCGGATGGCGATCCGTGGACCTTCTCCGGCTCCAAAAGGCACGCAGGCACCACGCCATTATACCCCTTCCGTCTCGTCCCTGGATCCTGAACAACCAAGGGGTGCAGAAGGCACTGCTTCTGCGGAGCAGTTGGGGGCGCGTCCCAAGACAACAACTGCCAGCGGCACACTTTGGTCCTCATTACGCCGCCAGAGGCGTGGAACAGTGACGGAGGACAGTGCAAGCCCAGCTCCGACCTCTCCCCAACGGCGGTTGCCTGTAATACCTGAAACGGGCTCTCAGGTGCGGCCTATTAGCGTTCAGGAAGTACCCAATCTGACAGCTTCCATGAAAAGATGGGCGACTAGGTGTACTGATTCCTTGAAATCGCTCCGTAGTACCTCCGCCAGAGAAGCGTCTCTCGACGGTGTTGCAGCAGAAGGAATGCAGCTGTACCGTGAGGTCACTAGTGTAAGCATGGATTCTTCTGTCGACCATGAATCCTCTCAATCATTTACAGATGCGTTAAAACTCCTGAAGTCTTTGCTAAATAAAGTTCACGCTGAACTTATTGTCTCCTGGTTGGGCAGGGTTGCTGAGTCGCGCCAGGCGTTGACGAAAGCTCGGTATGGCCTACAGATGTCTGTAAACGAGGTTAATGACAACACCCCTCCCAGAGCGGGAGGGCCGTACATTGGCGATGTAACCGTGCTTAGAGCTACTCTGAGCGCAGGCAGGCGGACTTCAGAGTCGCTTAGGCGTTTCCTTGGTGTACGTTCAACCCATCAGCGACTTTCCGACGCGTTGGAAGGTCTTGAGAGCGTCTTGACGAAGGGCGAACAGGAGTTGCAATCGGCGATTAGTTTGGCTGCTGATATGTGGAGGAGGAGGCTGGAGGATGCTGAGGGCGACAAACAAGCAAGCAGCGCTGTGCGCATCTCACCAGTCAAGTCTGGAACACTGGAAGCAGCCCCCTCGAAAGCTGTACTTATTGAGCGTGCAAAGACTACAGCGCAAGTCCTCCAAACCCTTGGTGGTGACTCCGTCGCTGTTCAGTTACTTGTGGACGTTTTGAAGAGGCAGGGCCATTGGGGCACTACTTCAAGTCGCAGAAGCTGGAGAGAATCTTTTCGTGGCTTCAGTTTGCGGCGTACCGCATCATCAAGTACTTCATTGACCGCTCCAAGACCCCAAAGTGATAAGTGATTGATTATGTGACTCTCGTTTTATTTTTTAGCGACCCCCCCGGGCCACTTCCATATCCCTCTCGTGCGTAGCGCGCCTACACTCGGTGCCTGTTTGGCACCTTCTCTATAGCCACGGATGATCCAGAGAGTGTATTAGCACATTTTATATCATTCATTTTATAATGTATATATATACCTTCCCTATATCTGGGGCATCTCCGACATCTGCTTCTGAACAGCTTGTTTAGCGCAAAGTTTATGCCCACTTGTTCACCTCACATAGCAGAATGTCACGCCGTGTCTGCATCAGATGCTTTCGCCGAAACTCTGGAAGAGCGGCGGAGTGCTCCTTTTTGTCAGATGCCAGCATGTTGAGCCTAACTCAAGGGTGACGGTCAGGTGAGCGATTCAGCGGATGCGGGCGGCGTGGGGCACTGTCGTGGGGAGCATGTTGGGGTCGGAAGGTCGACTTTATGGGAAGGGTTTTTTAGCAAAATGTTCCTGCACAGGCTTCTCTGCCAACTTGCGTGTTTTGTCTTAAACTTAAATGCAGCACGTCGTCTAGCAGGCCAAAGCTGGACAAGTTATGTAACCTGACAAATGTTTGCGTGCAAAAGCAAATCCACACGTCTTTACGCTCTTAGACAGAACGACGCTGCACTGCTTTCGCGCACCAAGTAGCTAGAATGCAGTCCCTAGACTCTTAGACTCTTAGCTACCTTCTCTTGCTGACACTGGCTCGTCAGACAGAGCGGCACTGCGTAGATTATAAATTGCTAAAGCGGTACGCATATGTCGATTCCTATAGGTATGCTATGTTGCTTCTGCATTATGGGGACAAATTAATCCCCATGAACTCCTTGGAGGAAGCATAACACCTCGTGGAGTGCCCGAAAAGAATTCTCAAACCGCGCGTCTGGTTGTTGTCATTTGCTGGCCTGTTAGACACATCAAGAGCTTGAGCTGAAAACACTGTTGTACAGAAGTTATCTGGGAATGTTGGCGATGTTTTTTTCCGGCCAAATCAAGTTCTCCGTACCCAACTTCCTCGCGCGGTCGAAATACTAGTCAGACTGGACAGAAGAATTGAGCCTTTGTTGCCTCCGGAGACCCCTTGTTCTCATGTTATAGCTGCTCAATCCGGTATAGTCGCCCTTGTTGTTTCGCTTTCTATTCAAGCATAAAGTATCTGTTTGAGGGTACCCGGTTCGCTGTTCTACCGTGTAGCGACGTCTATCAGAAGTAGGTATGCACGCAGTGTATGTTAGTTTGCGTAAGCCAAGGAAGTGTTTGACAGCTACATCCTGTGTTAGCGCATGTGCCCGAAGTGGGATTTAGGTGGACCTAGGTGTGGTGTTGTTTTGGGGCAGCTGCTGCACTGTAAGGAAGTGTCGCCGGCCGCAACCAAGGGGCGTTACGAGCTGCAGGAGAGTCAAACGATCTACAGTGAGATTGTACGGAAGACGGCCTTTCATCCAATATCCAAGCGTCTTGCGGACAGCCGGGTAAGGGCCTGGGGCGGGCGGTTTAGGAGGCGACCTGCCCTTTGGAGTTACAGTTTCTTGCTATGACTCCGGTGGCACAGCAACGCCGCATGCATGGTGACCCAGGAGCCCCTTTCGATACTTACAGCAATACCATCAACATTTGTGCGGATGCTGGCTGCTGAAAGCCACGTGCTCGACAATTCTCGACGTTGTTGGATCATGCACGTACCTGTTATTCCGTGTTGCAACAAGCGTCCGGCTGCACAGAAACTCAACGTTTTTGCCACTTTCTAAAAACAGTTCGACTACACGAATGAGACTCTTTGTCTGCTATTGACCGGCCGAGCGACAAGCAACAGATCTGCGGTTCGAACGACGCTCCAGTGCAACTGTTCGTTGGAAATGGGTACATGAAAATAAAATCATTCAGTTCGCAAGGATAGAACACCTCAGTTGTAGAAAGATTGCTCAGATTCCCAACCTATACGCTTCTGTTTCTTTATCTAATAGTAGCATTTTCATTATCCCACACGTAGTATTCACCTGCCACTACCGCTGCAGCAGAACCCGTTCGCGCACTGCCGCCGGTATCGCCCGGGGACGTTTACCCAAACTTCCTCAAAGAAGGGATAAAAACCAAAGGAAACGGCCCTGTTTAGTTTAAAAACAAGTTGTAAAACAATTTCGGTTCAGTTTCTACTGGAAGTGCTGTACCGGTTCACGACGGAGCCACTGGAGCCCACCCCACCCCCGCACCGTCCCCAACCTGCTCCATTCTCAACTCCGTGAGCGACGGCGATAGAATCTGAAAGACAGGGACTGTTGCCCATGAAATCTGAATTTTTTTTAAATTGAACATATATCTCCCTACTACGTCACTGCAGGGGTGAATCATATCGTCCCATTTCTCCAGCTACGCCCTTCGTTTTCACCGGAGGTTGGTAGGAGAACGGTGGGGAGAATTGCATTTTCTGCTGGCTCCATGACCATGCCAAGAGGTCCCACTGCATGTCGGTAGTTCTGAATGAATTAGAAATCATGCGGCCGTTGCTCCCTCTGGTAGCCTTGGTTGCCTCGGGTCTCCAGGCCGATGCCCTGGCCCCGGTTGAAGGGGATCCTCCTAATCTCCCTGTTTTCCCCACTGGAGACGCAGAAGGCCCTTCCTTTTACTCCCACTCTCCACTTCCCGTCTCGCCTCATTCAAAGATTCACCACAGGCGATCGATCTCGGCTCTTGCTCTAATCGTCCCAATAGTTGCTGTGGTGTTCCTCATCTACCAATGCATCTTGCACTTGAAGCGAAGGGATGACCCTTTCATAACAGTTCAAAGCAGGCGCCTGGCCAGTGGTGAACTGGACCCATGTAGTGCACCTGAGGGAGACGAAAGTGGTTCTGATCCGGCCGCCCTACCAACTGGCAACGGTTCCCCTCACGGCAAGCAGCTCGGGCGATTGCAGCTCGGGCCTCAAGATACGGCATGTTTGACTCAGGAAGAAGTCCGTGGGGTCGGAGATGCGCGCAGACTTTTACAGGGTCTTATAAAGGAGATTCAATCACTTGAGCAGCAATCCTCTTCGCTTTCTTCCACAGCGGCGAGCTTGCGAGCCTCGCTGGCAAAGCCACCAGAAGGGGGAGGCCCTGAAGCAGAACAAAAAAAGAAAGAATTGCAGAAAATGCTCCATAAAACTTCCCAAGGAATGGATAAAGTAAGGGCGCAACTGGTGGAGAAAAAGTTTCACTGTAATGAGAAGATGTGGACGGCGGGACAAGATTCGACGGCACTTCTCCGGAGGGCGAGCCTGTTGGCCTCTGGACGGCATGTGACTAGCGGTGCAGCTGCTGCGTTGGTCGCACGGGATATTGTCCTTGGAACGGCTCCAGATATAATATTTGACGGACCGCTAAAGACTGCTTTAGGAGCGCTGGTGCAACAACTTCTGGGTGAGGCGAGAGCCTGCGAGGGTCTCCTCTTATCAGACAGATTCCCTTCAGAAGAAGACTTACAACGTGCAAAAACTTCCCACGCAGATTTACAAACTGTGGCTGCTCAGCTGAAGAAGGTCGATGCAATGTATGGGTCAACCGGTCACCTGGACCCAATTACTGGAGCCGCCGAGTCGCTGGGGGCGGCACTTGGAAGATGCATGGGAGGGCCAACGAGTCAAAAACCACAAACTCGGGTTAGCGTGACACCAGATGGTCAGCCCATACCGTCTGGCGACCTGGGGCCACCGGGGCATCCACTCTGGACTCCTTATGGCTCACAATGGAGCCTCACAGATAGGAGTGGTTTGGGCGGCCGTCACCCGTCTGTGAGCTCTCTGCCGGGGAGCGCGCCCCTTTCTAGCTCTGCTTCGTTGCGCGG